TTTTGGGGGGGTGGGGGCAGGAGCAATGTGTGTCCCTAGACCCCCCTTTTGGGTCAGAGGTCTTGACCCTGCCTGCCCTCCTCCTCAGCCTTGTGCAGCCAATGCAGGAGCCGCTCTGGCTCTTCCTTCTCTCCTTCCTGCGTCAGATGGCAAAAGGTTAAACAGTTACACCAACTCCTCCTCAATTATTCAAAATGTAGATAATTATGAGAGTCATTTACATGAAATTAACTGAAAAGATGTGCCACTGCTCCCATTAATTGCCCAATATCTCCGTTTCCCCTAATTAATGACTCCTACTCCTAGGATATCGTAGCTCCATCTCCATCTCGCAAGGCAGAGAGAGAGAGAGAGAGAGAGAGAGAGATCCTCGTTCTCACAAACAGCGCCAGAATGGAGCCTGTGTCTGCAGGAGGGAGGGAGGGAAGGAGGGTGTGTGTCCGCCTTTCCACAGCTGCTGCACACGCGTGTGCATGCAAACATGGCTCTTGAGTGCAAGAGGGTCTTCCCTGAGCAAGAACCTGGGCTCCAGCCTCAGAAGCCCAAGATAGAATCCTAGAATCCTAAAGTTGGAAGAGACCTCCTGGGCCATCATCCAGCCCACCCCCTTTCTGCCAGGAAGCAGGAATATTGCATTCAAATCACCCCTGACAGATGGCCATCCAGCCTCTGTTTCAAAGCTTCCAAAGAAGGAGCCTCCACCACACTCCACAAGGGGCAGAAAATCAGGAAGGTCTTCCTCATGTTCAGGTGGAATCTCCTCTCTTGTAGTTTGAAGCCATTGTTCCTTTGCGTCCTAGTCTCTCTCCAGGGAAGCAGAAACAAGCTTGCTCCCTCCTCCCTGTGGCTTCCTCTCACATATTTTATACATGGCTATCATATAACTCCTCTCAGCCTTCTCTTCTTCAGGCTAAACATGCCCAGCTCCTTAAGCCGCTCCTCACAGGGCTTGTTCTCCAGACCCTTGATCATTTTAGTCACCCTCCTCTGGACACAGTATTCCAGCTTAGAGTCAATATCTCTCTTGAATTGTGGCGTCTCTTCCTGCTCTGCTTCCTTGGGGCCAAACACGTTGGGCCTCAAGCCCGGCCCTGGAGACGAAAGGCTCCAACGTCCCCTCTGGGTTCCTATGGCCAAGGTGCACCTGGCGCATCTCCACCTGGGCAATGGATCCGCACTCTCCTCTGAACTCTACAAGCCACCACTTGCAATGAAACATACAATGTGGGTCAAAATGCAGGTTCTCAGAAGAAGGCTTGAAGCCCGGAGACGGGTGTTGTTTAATGGGAGCCTCGCTTTCCCTGCAGACATCCTTTGGCACTTCTGCCAGGTTTAGAATGACCACAGAATAATCTGTTCCTGCCTGGGAGCCCCCTTCTCTGGAGGTTTCTGAACATAATCTGGATGGCCATCTGTCGGGAGGGCTTGGGTTGTGTCTTCTGGTCTAGCAAAAGGGGGCGGGATGGCCCCGAGGGCCCCTTCCCATCCAATGTGGTATTCCCATACGATCCCTTTCGGATGCAGTTTGCACAGGGATGACCGTCACCCACTTTGCCCTCCATGTGCAGAGGCCCAGCACGCCGGCCCTTCAGACACAGCTCCTGCTCAGCAATTATGGCGCAACTGCAGTGAGTTCCCCTTGATCTTCTCACTAAGAAAATAGTCACAGGTGGGCCGGCCTCTCGTGCTCCTCTGGGGTGGGCGGGGGTGGGCTGAGGGGCCCCACCCACAGAGGCTTCAGCCCCAGGCCTCCTCCCTCTCTGGTGGGGTCACCCCAGAGGGGCCCCAAAGAGGGTCCTGTCCTGGGCCTTTCAGGGCTTCATCAGTGACCTGGGCGATGGCAAGCAGAAGGCAGGCTGGGCACACGTGCGGGTGGGGCCCGGGGGGGGGGGAGTTCAGTATCCCAGAGGGTGGGGTCTGGAGGCCAAAGGACCTTCGCAGGTGAGAGAGCCCACTGGCCAACGAAGCAGAAGTCAAGAGGTCACTTGGCCATAGAAATGAATGGCAGAGGTGCAGGACAGGTGAGGCCCGGCTTGGACACCACCCACGAGAAAGCCACCTGGGCGTTTTCGCTGGCTGAACTGAGCCCAAGTCAAGGGTGGGAGGGGGCACCACCCACAAAAGCCAATGCCAGCCTAGGCCGCACCCGGAGGAGCCCACCGCCCAGGTGGAACGGGTCCCTCATGCCCCCCCCCCCCGCCCACTCTCTCTTCCCCGCTTTGGCCAGACCTACTCGCCGGGAATAGCCCCCTCCCCCTCCCCCCCCCCGGTCCCGTTCTGGGCAAAGCAGTGGAAGTAATAATAATAAGTCGGCCATGGGCAGGGAAGCCCACTCTGGTGGGATAGGGACGGAGGGGGTCGTGGCTGGGCGGGGGGGCCACCCAGAGGAGACAGGGGTGGGGTGGGAGGGGCGGGGCTCTGCTGAATCTCCGCCCTCCTCGCCTGGCCACACCCTAAGGGAACCTGCTCGATGCCTCTGTGTGTGTGTGTGTGTGTGGGGGGGAGACCCCTTCGCCCTAAAGGACTCGAGAAAGTGGGGGCTCCCTCCCAGGGGCCTATAGGCCACAGTCCCGCCCCTCCCCGGAAGCAGAGGCCTATCTCCCCCTGCCGGCCAAGACTAAAAGACCTCGCGCGCCACACAAGGGGGGGGGGGGGGGGTGGGGGGGGGTAGGAGCAGCGGCAAGGAGGGAGGGGGCAAGAGCAGGGGCGCCCCTTCCTCCTCCGTGGGTCAGAGGACCCCACCATCTCCCCAAAGGGACTCGGTCGGGGAGGCTCACAAAACTACTCCCTCCCTCTCTCCCTCCCCGGAAACAGAGGCCCCCCTCCCCCTCCCGGCCGAGACCGCAAGACCCCGAGTGGGGGAGAGGAGGAGCAGCGGCAGGGAGGGAAGGAGGGAGGGAGGGAGGGAGGGAGGGGGGCAAGAGCAGGGGCGCCCTCCCTCCCTCCCTCCCCCATGTGCCAGAAGACGAGAGTGCCGCCGCGGGTGGGTGGGGGAGGTCCCAGCTCCCGCTCTTCCTCTCTCTCTCTGCCCCCCACTCCCGCTGTGTCTGGGCTGAGCCTAAGCCCCCCCCCCTCTGCGCGCCGTGGGAGCGAGGCCCTGTCCCGCGGGGGTTGAGAGAGAGGGGAGGAGGAGAGGCCTCCGCTGGGCAGAAAGGAGGGGCGCAGCAGCCCCGGAGCCAAGCGGGCGGGAGGGGGGGGTCTTCGGAAGCCAGCCCCTCCCCCATCCACCCCCCTCCCCTGACGCCGGAGCCTCGCGGGGGTGGGGGTGGGGTGGGGTGGAGGGTAGAGTCGCCCGGCGGAGCAAGAGCAAGAGGAGGAGGAGGAGGAGGAAGAGGAAGGGCCCCAGCTAGGAGCAGCCTTCTCCCTCCCTCCCTCCCTCCCTCCCCCCCTCCTTCCTTCAGGACCCTGGAGAGCCTTCGCTGTCCAGGGTCCTGAAGGGAAGGAAGGAAGGAAGGGAGGGAGGCCAAGGCCGGGCGGCGAGGGGAGCAAAGGGAGTCCCGCGCGGGTCCAGGCCCCTCCCTCCCTCCCTCACCCCGCCCTCCCCCTCCGGGCCCAGTTTCCAGGCGCCCCCCAAGACCCCGCCCGAGGAGGCCCTTCCTCCCCACCCGCCCGACACAGAGCTGAGAGCAACACACCGTGCCCCCCCCCTCGAAGGGGCCCCTCCTTCCCCTTCCCTTCCTTCCTCCTGTCTTCTCTTCCTCCCGCCCTCCCCCTCCGGGCCCAGTTTCCAGGCGCCCCCCAAGACCCCGCCCGAGGAGGCCCTTCCTCCCCACCCGCCCGACACAGAGCTGAGAGCAACACACCGTGCCCCCCCCCTCGAAGGGGCCCCTCCTTCCCCTTCCCTTCCTTCCTCCTGTCTTCTCTTCCTTCCCTTCTTCCTTCCTTCCTTTCTTTCCTGGCGGCGCGGAGGAGCGGAGTGCGGGCGCGGGGGGCGGCGGCGGCGCCTTTATGGCGCGGGGATGAAGGGAGCGGGGGCGCGCACGCGGGAGGGAGGGGCCAGGGAGGCGCGCGCAGGGGGAGGGGCTTGCCTTTCCCCTCCCCCCTCTGCAGGCCCCGCCCCGTCCTCTCCCCTCCTCCCTCCCTCCCTCCCTCCCTCCCTCCTCCTTTCGCGGGCGGCGTCGGCACCGGCTGCCTCGGCGCTTCCCGGCGCCCCCCCTGCCCCGTCTCGTTCCCCCTTCCTTCCTTCCTTTTCCCGTTCCCGGACTGCGGAGGAGGAGGAGGAGGAGGAAGGGAAGGCGGTCTCCTTGGGCGCCCCCCGTTTCTCTCCGCGCGGGTCTCCCGTGATGGGCGCCGGGGGTCTTCTTTCCTCCTTCTTCTGCGGCGGAAGCGGAGCGGGGGCCTCCCGGAGAAGAGGAGGAAGAGGAGGAAGAGGAGGAAGGCGAGGGAGGAGGCCGCCTCCCCGTTGAAGAAGCCCTCCGCCGCAGGAAGAAGAAGAAGAGGAAAAGGAGGAGGAGGAGGGGGAGGAGGGGGTGGCGCGGCTGTGAGGAGCGGCGGCGGCGGCGGGAGGCGCTCGAGATCCATCCGCCGAGGAGCAGCGCCGCTCCGGACCCGAAAGGCGGAGGAGGAAGGAGGAGGAGGAGGAGGAAGGGGAGAGAGAAGCCCAGCCGCCCTCCTTCCCTTCCCTTCCCTTCCCTGCTTCCTTCTTTGCCTTCCTTTCCGGGGAAGAAGAAGAAGAAGAAGCGGCGTCGGCGGCGGCAAGGTCACCCTCGGCGGCGGCGGCGCCTCCTCCCCCCTTCCCTCCCTCCCTCCCCTTCCCCCCGCCCCCCCCGCCTTCTGCTGCTGCTGCTTCTGGATGGGGGGCGGCGGCGGGGCGGCGGCGCGGAGGTGGCGGAGAAGGCACCCCCCCAACCCCCACCCCCTCCAGCGCCTGGGGAGCGGAGCCGGAGCCGCCGGGCCGCCCGCCGCCCTCCGGGGCCCCCTCCTCCTCCGCGCCCCCCGGAGCCTTCTCGCCCCCCTAGGATGCGGCTGGGGCCCCCGCGCTCACGGGCCGCTGTGAGGAGGGGTCGCGCGCCGCCGGGAGAGCCGCCCGGAGAGGACGAGGAGGAGGAGGAGAAGGAGGAGAAGAAGGGAGCCCCCCCAGCAACGCCCCAGGAAGAAGAGAACCAGGAGGAGGCCGAGGAGGAGGAGGAGGAGGAGGAGGAAGGCTTCCCCGGAGGAGGCAGGTGAGAGACCCCTCCCTCCTGCATTGCAGGCCCATCCCGCGGGGGGGGGGAGGGAGGGGGGAGGCGAGGCCTGCTTCAAGGAGGGAGGGAGGGAGGGGAGGCCTTCGCCCCCGCCTTTCTTCTGGGGAGGGGGCTCCCTCCCTCTCTCCTTCTTCCCGCCGGAGGGGGGGGGGCTCCAAGGCCGCCTTGAGGGGCGACCCGGCGGAGGGTTGGGCTGGGCCGGGAGACCTCCCCCCTCCCTCCCCTCCCCTCCTTAAACTGGACGGAAGGCAGGCCCCGCCCGCAGCACCGGGATGAGGGGGGGGGGGGGGAAGGCGGCGAGTTGGTCATGCGGGGGGGGGGTTGGGTCAAGTGGGAAGGGCGGGAGCGCGGGGGGAGAGATTGCCCCCTCCCCTCCAGCTGCTCGCCTTTCACCCCTCGGAGGGAAGGTGTCGGGGAGGGAGGGGTCTCCTGGGGAGGAGTGCGAGAGGGAGGGGCAGGCCTTTCCTCCTTTGGCGGGGGGGGCGGGGGGGGCAGGCACCCCACTCGCTTCACCTCTGAGCACCGCCTTCTCCCCCTCCCCCCTTCATGTTATGGGCCCCTCTTCTTCCTGCCTGCCTGCCTGCCTTGCAGGGCTGTGGGGAAGGTTGGGGAGGGGGTGGGCCCACAGGGTGGGGAGGGGCTGCCTCGCCCCGCCCTCCCTCCCTCCCTTTCCCCATGGCCTTCCTGGAAGACAGGCCCCTTCGGGCGCCCCCTCCCCCTCTGAAGGGGAGGGGCTCCTCCACTCTGCCTGACTTTGGTGGGGGGGGGGCGTCCCTGATGCGTGCTGGGAGTGAGGAGGGGTCTGTGGTGCTCTCCTTCCCTTCCTTCCTTCTCTCTGTCTCTCCTCTTCCTTCCTTTGGTGCCCTTGAGCCTGAAATAGGCGCTTCTCTCTCTGGAGCAGAACAGGCGCCTCCCTCCCAAACTGGAAACGGACAACTCGGCCCCCCTTCCCCCCTTCCCTCCTTCCCCCCTCCCTCCCTCCAGGTCTTTTGGACTTCAACTCCCACCATTCCCCACAGCCGAGGTGCCCCTTCCCGAGGCATTAGCAATTGTGGGAGTGGGAGTCCAGAACACCCTAAGGGAGGGAGGCATGAGGGCCCAAGTTGTCCCCGTGCTGGGGGGGGGGGGGGAAGGGAGGGAAGAGGTGATGGCAGGAGACCCCCTTCCTTCCCCCCTTTGCAGCCCCCCTCCCCACTGGGGGAAGTGGGCTTTGCATGGAGAGTAAGAAAGGCTGCCAAGGGAGAGAGAGAGAGAAATGGGGGGGGGGGGCAAAGGACAGCCAAAGAGGCAGCCGCCCCTCCCCCCCTTTGCAAGGCCCAGTGCAGGGTTGGGGGCTGCACCCTCAGAGAAGAGAGAGAGAGAGAGAGGGAGGGAGGGAGGGAGGTGGGAGGAGGAAGTGGCCCAGGACCTGATTGGAGGGGGGCAGCGCAGAGGGGCAGGTGGGGGGGGGGCGCGGGTGAATACATTGGCAGCTGGGCCTCCTTTTGGGACCATCCCTGGAAAGCAGTCCTCTTGGGGGACCCTCACCTGGCACAGAGTCATGGAATAAGAGACTTGGAGGGGACCCCTCGGGCCATCTAGTCCGACCCCATTCTGCTGTGCAGGAAAAGCACCATCAAAGCACCCCTGACAGATGGCCAGCCAGCCTCTGTTTGAAAGCTTTCAAGGAAGCAGTTGTGCCTTAATGTTTGTGGATGGCTTCCCAAGCGACTGACACATCCAAGACAAGAGCCCTCACCCCTGAACGCCCTTATGGTGGCTGTGGGGGTGGGCAGAGGGACTTGTGCCCCCGCTCTGCTGCCTTCCAACTCAGGGGAAGCAGACCCCCCCCCCCTTGAGCAGGGAGGCCCTGGAGGGAGGAGCAGGGCCAAGGACTGGATTGGGGCCCGGCTCCTGTGTTGGCCTCTGGGCCCCCTTCCTCTCTCATTATGGATTCTGCGGGGCCTTCTCCCCTGTGGCCCCTTCTGGGATTCCCACTTGGGAGGTGAATAACGGATCCATGGAACGAAGCCTCCTGCTTGAGAAGTTTGGATGGCCATCTGTTGGGGCTGCTTTGGATGTGCTTTGCAGTGGGTCACTGGAGATAGCTCCCCACTCCTGGGGCACTGGAGGTATAGGAAGGGGAGCGGAAAGCCCACCTCCCCAAAAGAAGTGGCCCTGGGGTCTTCCAAGGAGCTGCCCCTCCCCCTCGACAAGGCCTGGGCTGCCCAACATTGTTGCTGCTGTTCATGGGGCCTTTGTGTCAAATGGGGGTCTCAGGGCAGCCTCTCAGGTGAGGGCCGAATGGAGGCTGGGGGCAGGAAGACCCCCCCCCCACCTGGAAAGCAAGATCAATGCTTGGAGAGCTTTGTAGTTGCTGCCGCAGAGGAGGCCCTGCACTCAGGCCCATCGCCGGTGGATTGCTTGAGGTGCTTCTTCAAGGGGTTTCTTCTCAGGGTGTTTGGGCTTTGAGGGGGGAAAGGGGGGGCAGGGGCCCATGGGGGCCACACCAGCGCCTACTGGCCGACAGCACAATGCCTTTAAGGTGCAATGCCTTGTGTGGATTCTCAGTCTCATGCCAGTCAATCAAGGGCTGCATTTTGTGTTACTTGGGCTTCTGTTTGGCAATGGACGGCGTTGCAGCCTTGGAGTCATCTTCTCGGGAGGTTCCTAATGGCTATCTGTCGGGAGGGCTTGGGTTGGCCATCCTGCTGGGCCAAAGCGGGTTGGGCAGGACGGCCTTGCAGTTGTGGTCCAGGGGCTGTGGGTGGGTTGCCTGGCATCCCCCCCCCCCTCGGTCTCTTTCCATCGTGAATGGCAAGGAAGAGACATTTTGGAGATCTTGACCCATCGATCTCTTTCCATCGTGAATGGTGAAGAACAGGCCTTTTGGAGATCTGAAGGGCTACCTTTTGACCCAGGGCTGGGTGGGTTGGTTGGTGGGTTGGGGGCTTCTGGAGGGATGAGAAGGTTAAAAGGGCATGGAAGAGTAAACAGACTGATGCGCTCATGACTCCACCGACAATCCCCGTGCAGTTGCTCTGAGGGTGGGGAGGGGGCCTCGCTTTACACCATTCACTTGATCTCAGATTGGCATTTGGAGTGTGGCTCCCCCATTGGAAGGGAACTGGGACCGGGCCCCTTCCTCCCCAAAAGGGAAGACGGAAGCCACTGCCCGAGTTACTGTTGTGTAATGGTGTTGTTCAAACCTCCCTCGTGACTGAACGGTCATGCCTAAAAGATGCAGTAAAATAGTCAAAGTCTGTTGTACCTGCTTGCGTTATATTACAGACGTGGTATTCAGAGGACTGACATGTGTGTCCGTTCTGTGTTGGAGATGTCGGGTTTCACAGGCTCGTCTGGAGAGCACCGGCCTGCATTTGCAAGTGGCATTGCATGGAGATCCTCAGGTTGCTTTGGGGTGAAAGAGGTTGTCTTGGAGTCATAGACTATTCAAGATGGAGGTTCAGGTTGGCCAGGTTTGGGACCCGCCTATTTTTGTGACCGCATCTCTGTATACGAACCCACGCGATCTCTTTGATCATCTGGAGGGGCCCTGCTCACGCTCCCATCTGCAACGCAAGCGCAATTGGTGGGGACGAGGGAAGGGCCTTTTCGGTGGTGGCCCCTCGACTCTGGAACTCACTTCCTAAGGACATCAGGCAGGCCCCAACTTGGCAGTCTTTAGGAGGAGCTTGAAGACGTGGTTGTTCCAGTGTGCCTTCCCAGAATAATGATCCCATAGCACTTTATATTGTTTTAGGTCTGCTCGTATGTTCCCACAAACCGCCCCATCATTTTTGCCCATGTCCAGCATTATCTTTTAATCTTTTTAAATTTTAATTACATTTGGCCTACCCATAGATTTTCAAATGTGTTGTCCTATTGATAATGCTTATGCATTGTTTTACTGCTTTGTTGTTTTTTAAATTGCTTGTATTGTTATTGTTATTGCTTGTATTGTTGTATTTTGGGCTTGGCCTCATGTAAGCCCACCGAGTCCCCTGCGGAGATGGTAGTAAAGGTTCTTGTGGGTTTTTTCGGGCTATAGGGCCATGTTCTAGAGGCATTTCTCCTGACATTTCGCCTGCATCTATGGCAAGCATCCTCAGAGGTTGTGAGGTGAAACGTCAGGAGAAATACCTCTAGAACATGGCCATATAGCCCGAAAAAACCCACAAGAACCAGTGATTCCAGCCATGAAAGCCTTCGACAATACAGTGGGCCGGCCCTGCCCCTGACATTAAGTCCAGTCATGTCTGACTCTGGGGTGTGGTGCTCATCTCCATTTCTAAGCCGAAGAGCCAGCGTTGTCCATAGACACCTCCAAGGTCATGTGGCCACTGGCATGACTGCATGGAGCGCCGTTACCTTCCCGCCGGAGCGGTACCTATTGATCTACTCACATTTGCATGTTTTCGAACTGCTAGGTTGGCGGAAGCTAGGGCTGACAGCGGAAGCTCACGCCGCTCCCCGGAATCGAACCTGCGACCTTTCGATCAACAAGCTCAGCAGCTCAGTGCTTTAACCCACTGCGCCACCGGGGCTCCCGGAGATGGTAGTGGGGTATAAATAAAGTATTATTATTATTATATGCAGAATTATAGAATGATAGAATCATAGAGTTGGAAGAGGGCCACCTAGTCTGACCCCCTGCCACGCAGGAAAAGCACCCTCAAAGTGCAATCAATGTAGTCCACGCCCATTTGGAGACACAGGAAGAAAGCCCTGGAGCTGGCCTTGCTGGGTTTCATCCCTGGGCTGCACAAGTCTCTTGTGTCATCAAGTTTCCAGACCTCAATGAGTAGACAGAGTTGAGATAGGATCAAGTTGAGGGATTCCTTTCCCCACTTCACCATGCGTGTTCCCCAAAAGGGCTTTGCCCTTCCTCCTCCTGCTAGCCACGGTCTTCCCCCCCTTTGAAGATATAGGAATGGAATTCTGTGAGGGAACTTCATAGAATCCTAGAATCCAAGAGTTGGAAGAGACCTCCTGGGCCC